TTGGTCAGGCATCACACTGCTGGACTGCTATGCGCACGTGGCGCGGAAGTGTCGTGAAAAGACCAGCTTGCTCACGTACTCGGAATACTTCAAGAACAATGTCGAGATCAACATTAGGCAGATGCACCACGCACGATCGTCAGAGGAGTTCAAAGCGATGGCCAAATTGTGTACGGGTAAGTGGCGTGATGACAAGCAAAATGCGTACGCCGACTGGTTCTCTAAGTTGTACTTGTCGGAGCTGTGGTCGCGCTGGCACACAATGAGTGCCATACCCGGCATTTTACCCTCGCAAAATGCGCTGGAGTCGCATAACAGAGCTATCAAGACGTGCGGTGTCAGGTTCAAGCGAGCCAAGACCGGAGTGATACTTGACGATTCAATGCCGCGATTGTTGACAATGGTTGGTGTTGACAGTCCAAAGGGTCCGTTTGGTCACTACTGCGAAGGTAAATTTCATTTTTTTTTCTGCCTGCTTTATGCCAAAATATAACTTTTATTACGTATAGGGCCCCTACCAAGCCAAATGATTCTGAGGGCGTTAGATCATGTCGCTACTGGAGCACACAGGATTAAACGAGATCCAGGGAAGCAAACGGGTATTCTTCGCTCCGTGTTCTGCAACACTTCAACTTACATGTCCCTTGGTGAAGAAGTCACGCAGGAACGAGTGACTCGGTGAGATTTACGCTTTATGGATTCAGTTCAAGCTTGCTTACAGGTTTTGGTTTGTACTATGCTTTCGAATAGGTACTGCGAAGCAAAGGACGGAAGGTTTCTCGAGACTGACACTGTACAGGACATAAACCTCCACTCTCTTTCACTACACCAGGTTGAATTTATTGGTGATCCGAACCAACTATTACGGTTCCAGTTCGCACTTCAACCCGTCATCACTATGGACAAAGTGAGATTTGTTTGTTTATATATTTATAGTTACGGATCTCAAAGTTTAGGAAAGCTAACATTTTATTGTGTTTTCTTCTTAGATAAAAGAGATTCGAGAACTCTACCGGTGCGATTGCAAGGCATTTATGTCGACTGGATGGGCATGCTCGCACGTCGTGGCTGCCATGTCCATTAACGAGCAGTTCGATTTGGACTTGGCAGCGACACGCCTCCCGACAAAAAAGCTCAGCGGTGGTCAGCGGAAGATCCCTAATGCCCTAACCATTGACATTACGGGGGCAAAGAGGTTTTCTACAAAGCTTATCACACGCTTACAGAGAGAGCCCATGTACATTCATAACTGGCAGGTGTGTAAGGACTTCATTTTTGAAGAAGATGGAGTAGAGACGACTGAGTTCATCACCGGCAGGATCAAGGGCGCCCAGAGGAAGAATGGTGTCTACCAATGGCGTGTAAAGTTCGTCGACGGTGACGAACTATTCTACGAGTGCCAAGACATAGCTGAGATCATCGCTGCATCGCGGAAGATCGGACTCGACGTAACAAGTTTGGATGAGCAAGCGGAAGAAAACAGCTAAGAAAAAAAAGATTATGAATAAAACACGCTTATTAATGTCAGAATTGGTAATACTTAAGCGATTTCATAGCAGTGTATTCATCTCGGTTTGTGAGTAGTGAATCCAGTATATTTGTAGCGCTTCGTGTCTTCTTTCGATAAAAGATGAAAAGCAACGCTTGTCCGGGGAAAGTATCATTTCTCTACGATCATATCTAAGTTCAGTTCACGTGGAGTAAATACTTTTTTTAAACTATTGGACGAAATAAATGAGATGATTATACCGCACAGAAACCGGTGTGCGCTGCGTACTCGAGGTTCCGCCTTTTCTCTACAGAGTGTACTCGGGTTTCCACCGTTTGTCTAAAACCTGTTCAAACTGATAGTTGTACTCGGGATTCAGCTTCGTGTACTCGGAATCAATCCGCACCCAACTATTGTCATTCCGTACCGAGCGCAACATTGAAGCCATCCGCCTCGTTCTTGAGATCCTCGCGCAATTCGTATCGCCGTATCGACGCAGGTTGGCTGATCAGCTACTGTTTTACCGTCGGGGATATACCTACAGCCCAGCAGTTTACGCAGAAGTTAAGCATTGCGAGGTTCTTTGGCAAAATTTGTTTTCTAGACAACATGTGAACGGTTGTCTTCATGGGTACGACACTGTTGCCAGTACAGTACGTCGGGTGCCCTGGAAATGAACGCCATTATGCTGATTGAATAGTTTTATCGCTCCCATTTGTAGGTCCTATTGATGGTTTTAAGTTCACTAGGGACCTATATTTGGCTCTGTGGTCTTAATATAAGACTCGCTTTGACTCGATTTCACTATTTCGTGTTGATGAAAGCAAATAACGTCCAACGACTGAGAAACAGCGTGAGTGAATTGAAGCTGTGACCGTCTAGCTGCACGGTTGTGGTTGGAGTGTCGGTGGACGCAGCAGTTAATGAGGGGTAGAAGAAATTACAGAATTTAATCACCTATGACAGTGTCGTTTCTAGCGACATCTTGCAATCCCTCTGTCGCTGTTCTGTTGAGTGCACAACAAATTAGAAGCCAAAAAGCGGGGCGTGAACACGCATTTTACAGGGATACATATAGTTAACCACCATTCCGGTGGGACCTCCTCGGTGCCGGGTTGTACAAAAAATCGAGTCTTAAACAACTCGTTAGAGCATGAAAACAGGTCCAACCGCTGGAAATGCCCTTAGAGCTAAAACACAGACTGGCATCCAAAACTTGAACTAGGTTATGTAGTTTTGTCCGGGATATAGGATTATTGAGGCGCACGTGGCAGTCAAAGCGAAGAAATCGAAAAATCACTAAGTACTAATATAATAAAAAGTGTTGGTATTAGCACATGACACTTGATTTCGTACTGTCAACCTTTTGATTTAATTATCTTGTTTGACTTGCAGATGAGAAAGAGATCAGGTGCTGATGTGTCGATTGCATCGAGACATTGGAAAACAGGCAGGAGTGATTTAAAGGCCGATTGCTATGACCAGGGCCGTCGAAAAATAAATGCACTTGCAATAGTGATCATAAATATTATTATATTATTTATGAGCCGTGAAAGTAGTACATTATAATTTATGACTCCAAATTACTCTTTTCACGCATAATTTATGATAAGGTACTATTCATACTTAGGTTAGTATGCGGTAACATTTACCTTCACTCAGCCTCCCCAAACCAACCATCTATCCAAACAGCTCTACGACACATTGTCTCCACACTTTCCAAGTTTCACTGTCTGTTGCAAGCTCTACACCTCATGCTAGCTACGCCTCGTCCCCGCTCAACTTTTTCAAATGCGCAGATTGCGGCGTACTTCTACTCACCGTGCCGTAACCAGTACGATGAACCCGTGCCGGAGTACTTTCGCTGCCGCTGCTGGAAGATACGCAAGCAGACGAGCCGAAATGGCTTCACCAATCTCATGCAGCATGTGCGCAGCGAGCATCCAACCTTCCAAGAAGAGATGCTCGCTGCCACAACAGCTCAGACCAGTTCGGTGGCGCACTAAGCTCACCGGACGGCTATGAACCGATTCGGCTGGCTCGAGTGGATTGTAAAGGCAAATCGGCCTCTCATGTTCTGCGAGAACACGTTCGCTCGCCGGTACGGATTGCTATACTACTTTTTGATAATGGAAATACTAATGTGATTATGTTTTATAAGGTACTCTTCCTTGGAGCCGATATCAGTGGAAACTCTGCGTGCACTGCTCGAAGGCATTACGCGTTCCGTGGAAGCAGATGTTGTTGCAGAGTCGCCGGACGCTTTGGCATCATGTTCGATGGGTGGACCCACTCATCCGAACATTTCGTCGCAGTGTTTGCGTATTGCGAAGATAATGGCATTGCTAAGTCGGCGCTCCTGAGCATGGCCCCTGTGATTAACGGGCTCGACGAGGACCCGTCGGCCCGTATCCACCGCGACTTTTTGGCGGGAATGCTCGAGCAAGATTTTGGTAAGGATTTAAGTTGCTGCTAGTACCTATTTGGAGACAACTGTTCAGCGAACAGAAGATTGGCAACTATCATGCTAGTGCCGCTGGTCGGATGCGCTAGTCATCGACTAAATCGGGCCGTTCAGCAGCACATGACACAGAACGAGAACGATTTTGCTGCTGTGCAAGGCCTGATGACCAAGCTGCGGACGATTAAACATCCCAAAGCTTCGGTAAGAACAATTGATATTAGTACTAATACTATTTTGTGTTATTATTATGCAACTAATATGCTATTTTTTATTTTTTTATTTGTTTCTTTGTTTCTTTGTTTGTTTGTTCTTTTTTTTTTTTTTTTTTACTAGATTTAAGACAACACTTCGGCCAGTAATTTGACACGATATCCACTGGGGGTCCACCTTCTCAATGGTGCATCGCTAGTTTGCTCTACTGGAGTTCCTGGACCAAGACGACGAAGAGCTTATGTACTTGCTGCCGTGTCCGGCATACAACCGCCAGCTCAAGAAACTCTACGCAGATTTCAAGGACTTTGAGTCAGTTTTGAAGGCCTTACAAGGAGAGAACGTGAGCCTGCTGGACGTGAGGGTCTGGTTCGACGGGCTTATTGAAGCCCAGCCTGCGTTCGCTGCTTATATCGGTACGCTAAGCTATGGCACTTTTGTTATTATAATATTTTCTAACTAATACTGATATACGTAGCTCCTCGAGCAAACATCGTTCACACCCCAGACTTTGAGTTGGGGTGCGTCCGTGTGCTCAAAGGAACTGGAGCCCGCCTCACCGCGTCGGAGAAACGAGCTCTTCGTCCTTTTCTCCAAGTGGACCGTGCCCCGGTCAACCATGGTGAAGAAGCCGAGACGGACTCGCTTGTGCAGCGGCTCGAGAAGCGGCGCCGTCTTGAAGCATGAGAAGCTCGGTACTGCCTCGTAGGCAGCATCCCTGCCACCTCGAACAAGGTGGAGGGCTTCTTCAGTGTTGCGCGTGCAACTCTTGGATACGAGCGTAATGGCCTACAGCCCATTCCGCTCGAAATGGTCCTTTTCCTGCGTGAAAATTCCCGCTAATGGGATATTTCTACTGTAGATCAACTCCTCTAGCTCATAACTTGCTAATCAATACAAGTACGAGATGATCACCATTATTTAATTTATCTCTAACAGCTATTACATTATTTATGAAGTCGAATCGTAAAAAGACGTCACACTATTTATGAGTACATTGAGGGTTCCATTCATATAAATATCATAATCGGCGACCCAGGCTATGACACATGTATTGCTAGCATTGGACGTCCATCGCTAGTCCTAGAGTATACAAACGCAGAATGACTTACAATTTCGTATAAAGTTTTGGCATTCGTAATCGGACTCGGTGAACTAAGTAATATCCTGTACGACAGGATTTCAGGTTTCTCAAGTTTCATTTAAGAAGGTTTTACTGTATTGTCCTCCAGACAGACTGCTGTACATGTACCGTCATATATAGTCATGCGCTTTTGCGGAGTTGTGCAGGTTGGCTTCGTGTTTACTCAGGCACATCATGAACATTCGCAATTAACTTGATGCATGAGCGGTTGCCGTTTTGTTGCCATGCAAGAGAAAAGAGCTCGCAACAAACTTCACCAACAGCAATACTGCATAATCTGGTACGTCGACAGCAATATTGCGTAATCGGCCACGTCAATTATGGCACTGCATAACAAGCGGGGCACTGGTGAAGACAGCAACACAATTCATGTTTTATCCGCATTCTATCGCCCCTCCGGGTTAAATGACAACCGCGTTTAAAAATTTGCATTCATGTGTTTTGGACTCCGGCAATACTCATAAACTACAGTGAAGTAGTACGCAGACGCTGCGCTTTTTTTTTTTTTTTTTTTTTTTTGCCTATTGTAAGCACTTTGTTGGGGCTGACAATATTATTATTTTCTTTGATTATTGGGTTTTTAGCAGCTTAGGGTAAAGTGTCGGTGGCCTCGCTTTCCAGAACGCTTAATTATTAGTTATTGGTTTGACCTAAGTGTACCAGTAAAATTGATAAAGACTAGACATTACCATGCTTTCTCTATTATGTACAAACTTCGATCAGTTGACTGCACAAGAGCTATCTGAGGGCACAGCCTTACATCTGTCATTCATGATGACAAGCAAGCTTTAAGTAGCATAGCATTCAAACCTCTCCGTGCGAAACGCGGCATTTTCGAGAAACTAGGCATCTCGTAATATTCTCCTGTTAGATAGTTTTTTTTTCCAAGTTTTTCTGTAATTTGCTCTTTTTAAAATATGCAACAAGATCCTTGCACCTGTCGATGAGCTGAAATACGTCTGGAGCGGCATCAAAATATCGATAAAATGGAGCAGAACGAACACCAGCAGCAATTGTCGTTGTCTTACAAAGGACAGTTGAAATCATTGTAGCAATTTTGTGATCTGCGCACGAGATTCAATTGTAGACGGATGGAATTCCAGATGAGCTACACATGTTAGAACCGCACTCTGTAACAACAGAACATTGGGATGTGTCGCGAATACCAAACTCCATTAAAGCTTCGCTAAAAAGGCCCAAAATATATTCAGCAGTGTGGGTTAAGCCTTCTACATCTTTAACCTGAAGCGTTCTAGCGTTTAGATCAAACTGCTCAATCAAATAATGGAATGTCATGGACATATAAGTAAGCTTTCGGACGGAATCAGTCCACAAATCACAAATCGGCTGAGAAGCCCCCACCACAGCGATTGCTGAATCGATGCTCACAAATCGCCACTATTTTTTTGTCGAACAAGTGTAGAGTAAGAGGATGAAATCCTCTTGGAGCACCCGCACTCTGAAGAAACGCAACAGGCGCCGGAGAAGGACCCAACGCAACCGCAGGAGTAAGAAGATCAGCGAGGATGAAGAAGGAGCAAGGACCAGCAGGACCAGTACGACAGGAAGCGATGACAGCCGACGGTCGATGAAAAGCAGCAGGACCAACTTGAAGATGCAGAATGATAGTCGAAGATCGCAATGGATGAAAGGTTGCCAAAGAAGTCGATGGGTGACGTGTGGATGTGAAGCCCCGTGGCAGGTCGCAGTAGTTTGCACGTATAGGAAGTAGGAGATCACTTGGACATTTGCCGTGAAGCGCGCGAGTGCGAGCGGAAGAGTCGACACCGGTCTGGTGGAGACACTGCCTAAACCAACAACAAGAAGCCGTTGACAACGCTCAACGTTACTGTGAGTGGACGATAAGAACGTACAGAGAAGAGAAAGAGTTGGCGGGTTTTTAAGAAGGAGCCCACAAGATCTGCGCGGTATCTGCAGCCCGTGCCGAGCGCTGGTAAGCCTAAGAGAGGGTAGTGCTTTTAGCCCCCGGTCGCTTAGCCCCGGCACCCCGTTCGGAGGATCTTGTTTTATCTGTACGAGGCTACTGCTCTACGGAGCTCACGGAGTGCATATTTGCTGCCGTGTGTGTGTGTGTAGCTACTAGTAACTGTATCCTTAGGGCAGTAAGTATGTAGCCACTCGGACACCGTCCTCTGATCAGGGTCAGGACTGACGAGCACTACGGGACATCGGAAGTGAGCAGCGAGTACTGAGAGAAGTCTTACTGTAGCATCATCGCACTGTGTTAGGAACTGGAAGTAGATCACCGATATCGCAAAGTCGTTTTGAACGCACACCAATCCAAAAAAGACTTCAACAAGTGCTCTAAACCCCTCTCCAGCCACAATATTAAATGGGCGTATGTCTGTACAGCACATTCGTGCAGCCGCTTTGATAATGCGCTTTTTATCAGGAGTGGCAATTGTTTGGAGAGGAATTGCTCAAAACCTCCAGAGACTACGGGAACTCGGGTACATTTCTTCGTATGTTCGTTCAAAGTTTTGTTCCCATTTGATCGCAAGTAGACGAATACTCTTTCGCAGGCGGTGCACGCTACGAACCCGTTTTTGTGAGCGACAAATTCGACACCTTTTTTCTTCTCATAAATGTGGCGAAAGTGAGCCCAGCATTAGCCTTCGTGTTGACGTCATCTCTTAAGGTGACGATGGGGTCTGATGTAATAATTGGAGAATCCGGCTAATACCTTGCTTAAGGTCGTTAAGTGGCATGCGGCGAAGGGTTTCAAGTCTTTCGATGCGAGCTTGGTTCGTCGTATTTCCCTGCGAAGACGCTTGACTTGTGCTCATACTTTCTGCAGCCTCCATTGATTTAGCTGCACGTTAGTCGCTATTTCCTACGTCGATAGGAGTAGCGAGACTGAGTGGTTGCTTGTTTAATAATGACCTAAGAACTGTAGTTTGTACTTTCTGTGAATGTTTCTATTTCGGGTACCCGAAACCGACCCGAGGAAAAATTCGGGTACTCGCACCCTACCCGATCCGGATGAGAATTTTACCCGAAATCGGTTACCCGATTGCGAGCTCTGATCTGTACTAAAGCACGACAGGACGTTTGATAAATATTGTCTAAAAACAGGAAATGGTGCTTGAATAATCTGGCTGCTTCTTGCACTAAGCGCGATTTTGCTATCCACGAACAAACCAGAATCCCCAAAGTATAAGATCTTAATCGCATTACCTAGCTCGCAATTGCTACCGGGGAACCCGGGGACGTAAGCAGCCTGGTCCGAGACAAACCAGAACCCGATGCTCTGACGGCGGAAAAAGCGCATATTACACGTCGTCACAACTAGCGTTGGTCCTAATACCGTTGCGATACAAGTGGACAATGTAAACACCAAAGCGACCGCTGTCGTGGCACCAAGTTCCACAGGAAGCAAGAATCAATATCTCCACAAACCCATCGACAGCAATCCAAAGCGTACACCCTTGCTAAAGTACCCGCTATCAAATTCTGCAAGTGTTGTTGACAAACTATTATAAGCTCGGCGACTTTCACCGACAACACGACAAAGCTGAAACACGACTACCTTTGCACGGAACGCCGCAGCAACGGAAGCGGAGTGTGACCGCTACAACGCCAATACTAAGCCGCTTAGTCTAAGCGCATTGGAAAAAGGGAGCCTCCTCCAAACATAAATGATAACAGGCTTAAAACAACCCGTTCCCAAGCATACACTGTAGTAGCAAGTAAATAATAGTCTGAGATTGATAGTTAACGGCGTGGTCTCGACACGTGAGACCATGCCAGCCAGTCGTTGGGCTACTTGCTCACCGAAGAATGCAGTGGCGATGATTTGTGACAATTCCCAGTCACATACATGCTCCAGTGACATCCAGTAGACGCCAAAAAAAGGAACAAAATGCTTGGTGAAAGCTGCGAGAATCTTCATAAAATATTATATTATATCCCATCTGGTTCTCTAAAATTAAATACAATTCGTTCTTCTTTTCGCGTTCAACGTTTCCAAAAAATATTTTTTCACTTACGAGAAAACTCTTAAGCTATTTCTTATATACCCAATCCCCCCTCAACTTGATGTGTATTCAATGGTAAAGCGAATGGGGGTATATACCACAACTTGTGGTATTACACGTATGGCTTGAGCTGCCTTGGAGCATCATTAATATTAAAGTGACACCTATCGTGACGACGAAGATTTTACCAACCTCATGTGCGTAGTCGCACGTGGCGAATAAAGAACATCAACTAATTGCATAACTATTTTGCTACTTATCTCGAAAATTCATAACGCATCTACTACTATTTCGAATACCAGCTGACTCGTTTAGTCGGACAAACAAACGACATTTCGCTGAACACCAGCCCCACTGGAGTTTCCAATATTAAATATTATATCCAGTAAACTGCTGATCAATGGGTCAACATATTTCTTTCGACACAAGATGCACGACGTTTGGGAAGTAGACAGACCTATATTGCCTCGTATTTGACAATGAGACAGCTCGTTCTCTTTTCGCGTTCGATCTTCACCTCGGTTTCCGTAGGATCCTCGTCGGTTATCGCTTCAACATGCAATTCATTCCTGCTTGGGCTTCTTGCCCTCCGTCTTCTCCACGATCTCCGCCGTCATGCCTCCGTCATTGTCGCCGTCTCCTCGGCCTCTATGGTAGCTGCCAATTCTAGTGCTTATTTAACGCCAACTTGCAGGAATATTTTCTTTCTTCGCATCCTTCAGACTATCGCCTGCAATGAGCTCATCCAGCGCACCGATCAATATTCATCACCTCCCACGACCGCACTTCCCCAAGCACCAACCTCCGCACACTAAGCCATCGTGCAATCACCGGACATGAGGCCACCGGAGGTGCTGTCTTGTTGATATGGTGCGCGACGAGTGCTCGCAGATTGTCCATGTGGACGGATCTAGCAATGATGAGCCCACCACGAGGACTCAACGGATGATGGCGAAGGCTCGGAGGCTACCAGAAAGGACTCATCAGCCGATGGTGAAGCAGATCCGACGGCTGTAGGAAGCGGAGAGGATTGTGAGTGGACGAGCATAGTGAAGGCAAGTTAACGAGGCGTTTGAGGTAATCAAGTTGATGAGAGGAACATAGGGAGCGCAGGGAGCACAGGAGAGGATAGGAATATTTGTAAGCAGTTTAAGGAGATAAATCGAATCTCACTTCAGCTTTTTCCCCTACTACGAGCACTCAAAATCTACAAGTTAACAACCTCAAGACGCTCAAGCTACAAGACCGCCATGACCACGACCGCCAAAAAGGCTGAAGTCATCCTTGGAAGCGACATCTACTTCCATTGGGAGTTCGCGATGCATGACGCTTGCGAGGAAGGGGCTACTGGCGCATGTGCAAGTCGTGCAAGACCCAGCAAAGGTAACCGAGGCCCGGTTTGTGAACGACATGAAGGCGCTCGGTTTAATCGCTCAAGGTGTGGCGGTGGAGCACCATACGAAGATTCGGTCGGCAACGACGGCCATTCAAGCGTGGACCACGTTGCGCGACTTCTACAACCGAACGACCATGGTCAACCGCGTGACGATGACTCGCCGCCTCCACGAGTTCAAAATGGAGGAAGGGTCGACGAGCTCATCGTGGGTCTCCAAACCCTCAGTGAGCCGCTCGACGAGAGTCGACAGCTCGCTTTACTTATCAGCAGCCTGCCCGCGGAGTACGAGCTGATCGCGTCGATCGTGGAGAACAGTAGGGACACCACGCTGATCGAGGTGAAGGAGAAGCTGCTCAAGGAGTTCGAGCGGCAGGAGAAGAAGGAATCGACTTAGCGCGCGCTTAAGGCCTCGTTCAGAGGAAGAGACAACAGCGGAAGATTTGGCAGCCTCGGGTGAGGACACGGCAGCTCCAGGAACAATGGTGGGCGAGGGCCTGGTGGCTTCAAGGGCAAGTGCTTCAGCTGTGGTCAGACTGGTCACATGAAGCGGGACTGCTATAATGGGACAAACGGTGACACCAGCGAGGACTCGGTATTCGCCGTGGGAAAGAATCGGTCGACTGGGTGGTTGATCGACAGTGGAGCGACCACTCACATGACACCGTACCGTGATGACATACTTGAGTATCAGGACGTGTCGGTGGGCATGTACGTTATCATCGCTGACGGTAAGAAGATCATGGTGGCTGGTATTGGTTCGGTGCATCAGACAGGCATCGACGGCAAGCGCATCAAGATGGTGGATGTATTCCACATCTCTGGACTCGACTGAAGACTACTCTCGGTGGGAAAGTGGCCGAACGAGGCATGAACGTCGAGCTTAGCGCAATTCGTGCATTATATGGAACAAGACGAGGGCAATCGCCTCTGGGAAGAAGAGCGGCAAAGCATACTTGTTGGACTACCAGCAAGGCATGGCTTACTATACCGAATACGCCGACGTTGGCGGTGAGTGGGAGCTTTGGCATGCTGGTATGGGACACTTGAACGAGGACTCGCTCGTGAAGACCAAGCAGGCCACCATTGGGGTGCCAACGAGTTCTCGGCACGGGGCCAAGATGCTGTGTGGTGGCTGCATGAAGGGCAAGCAGACGGTAGAGAGGTTTCCATCCCACTCACCAACGAGTACTCGCCGACCATTGGAACGGGTCCACACGGATGTGTGGTGGAGTGGGGTTCGCAAAATCGCGTTGCGATCCACTCGGACACACAGTGCCCTGGACCGCCGACTGACGGAGGGGGTACTCCGATAACCGTGGGGTTGCTGAGGGCTCACCTTGTGTACCCGTCGGCGGGGCTGGCTACACTCCTCTGGTGGACT